TCTCTCTCTCAGGGGCTTGAACTTTGGCCCTCAGGTCTTGGCCCCCTGCAGCTAACCACCCAAAGTCATTCCGTCCAATTAGACAAACCCCTTTCTCTCAGGACAGTGGCTGCCATTCCAAAATGGCTCCTGATGGGCCAAAGCTCTAAAGCGAGCTCTCCAGAACTCACACGGTTCTTTCGCCTGCTCCAGTCTGTGAGGACAAGGGTACCAACGCCATCACGGGAGCTGCCCCCTGATTCTGTCACTGGCTCTCTCCCTTTGTCACCTCTGTGGCCCCCGGTCTCCCTGTATGTAGAACACCAACTCTCAGCCTCCCTCACCAATGTGCCCGCAGTGACCAAGTGAGACAGTAAAAATATTCCGAGAGAAAACGGATGCCTTCCGCCACAAAGGTGTTCACACCCCACCTTTTCCAAACAGCACAGGTTACGGCAAATACCGGCCACCGGCAAGGCAGAGCTTGGTCGGGTCCAGAAACTCTCTTTGTTACATATATGGGGATTTCCACTCAACTCAAACGCTTCCCAGAAACACCTAGAGCCCTTACTTAGCAAAGGTTCTCACCGGCAGCCAATCGGAAAAAGCCCTGTGGGCCCATGAATCAGTCTTTCGGAGCTTTGGGAGACTATTCCGTTTTGTGTTTAACATTTGGGTCCCATGGATGACTCAAGCGTAACTTCCTTGGCATCGAAGGAACTGGGAACTGAGATGAACTGCCCAGTTTTTAACGGCATTTGGCCTCTGTGTACCCCATATTGTCAGTGCCCCATCTGTCGGGGCACCATGAGAACGATGACCTGTCACTGACTGGTCTGAAAGCCCAGCCGGTGTGGCTCAGTGGCTGAGTGTCAACCTATAGAGCAGGAGGTCAGCATTGGATTCCCAGTCAGGGCACATGCCCCAGCTGTGGGCTCAATGTATCTCTCTCTCTCTCCTTCTCCCTTCCTCTCTGAACTACACACACACACACACACACACACACACACACACACACATTAAAAAGAGCTTTGGTGTCTGAGTAGTTTAGGATCCCTAAGATAAAGGGTTCTAGCCTTCTAAGAATCTCATATTCATTCGCTCGCTCGCTCGCTTTTAAAATGGCTTAAATAATGAGAGCACGACAGGAAAACAGAAAACATATGGAATTGCATTTGTTGACTATTTATATACCCTCTACTCTGTCCAGCTGACTCTGCCTCTAGACACATCAGACTCCATACTGAACATGGATCTCCCCCCCGCCCTTCCTGGAGACTCTTGTTTTCTCCGTTGCATTCATTCAGAGGACAAAGCAATTTGCTATAGGCAACTACACCATTACTTTGTACAAATAAATTTACATAAATCATTATTAGAATGCTTTATCTTAGCAACATTATTTGGTTCCCAGAGCACAAATTAAATGTATGCTTAAAGCAAAATATTTTAAAGTTATTCCTATATTGCTTATGAGATAGAATTAGAAATTTCCTTTCTCTTTTATAATGGAAATTTTCTTGTTTTTGTTTTCCTTGTACATTTAGAAACCACATCTATAATGTTCTGGAGAGGGGACAGGTTTTTGAAGCAAGCAATGCAATCGATGAGTCTGCCACATTCGGTTCATTTTTCAGAGTCTGTTCCCTTTGATTCCCTCGGTTTGGTTTTGAACACTGATTAGGAAGGTCGGGAACCAGGGAAATTAATACCAGCTTGTGAGTCAATGGGTTTTTGTTTCATATGATTCTGCAAGCAACAACTGATCTTTGGTTGTGGTGCGGCTTTTTTTTTTTTTTTTTTTTTTTTTTCCAAATAAACAAATTTGTGCATAAACTTCCTGAAAACAGCCTGGTTTTCCCCAGCTGTTTGTGTTGGGAAGGTGCCTGTTTGAACCAACTGCATAGCACATGGCAAGTCTTCACTGGCTAGAGTTCGACTCCACCCTAGATTTCAAAATGCAGCCTTTCCTCCCTGTGCACAACGCATGCCCAGTGTTAAAGCCAGCTGCACCCTCAACAGCAGGGGAGTGGGGACCGAAGGGGGCTGGCAGGAAGTCAGGGGACACGCTCGCCAGTCCCGGTCCTGCCCCTTTCCGACTCTGGACATGCACGGGGTGGTCTGGTATCTTTGTTGCGTGTCTGGGTCAGAACAGGCTGAACTCTCTGCTCGGAGCTGTAACCTTCCACCAGTGTGTGGTCTGGGAACAGATTCCTGTGTCAGGAAAGTGTGGGCCCCACGGGGCCAAGGGCTCAACCTTGGGCCTGAGAGCACAGCATCAGACAGGCCTGGAATCAGAACAGAGTGCTGTCCTCTGATAGCCGTGTGATCGTCAACAATTCAACTTGCTCTGCCTCTGGTACCTCATCCTATATAATAAAAGGCTAATGTGCAAAGTGTCCCTTTGGAAGTTCGACCGAGAGACCGGGAGTCCGATCGCTCACTATGATGTGCACTGACCATCGGGGGGTGGGGGGGTGCGAACACGGCGGGCGACCAGTGGCGGTGGCAGCAGGGTGCTGAGGGAGCGACAGAAGGAGGAGGCGGGGAGGCAGGGAACCTGATCAGCCCTGATTGCCAGCCAGGTCTAGGCACCCTACCTGTGCAGGAATTTTGTGCACCGGGCCTCTAGTCTGAAAATAGATTACCCATTCCTACCTCACAAGTTTGGGGATTGAATGAAGCAATAGAGGCAAAAGCTTAGCACAGAGTCTGACACTTGGAAAAAGCTTAGTAAACAGGAGGTAATAATCTCAAAGGATGACCAGTGGGGTCAAACTGGGGTGATCACGTAACTTACTGTCCACACCCAGATGTTTCTGGGTGTGAAAGGGAGGGCTGAATGATAATTATGTTGGGTTAACTGGCGAATGCTAGGACAGTCCTGGGAGTGTGGGACTACCCAGATGCCAGCCCATTGCCCTTCAAGGTGTGATAAAGAAATTAAATAACAATTATGTCTTAAGATATTTTACAACTCATGATACCTTTCAAAGCGCCTCCACACATCTTATTTGCACCTTCAATAAACATGACCTAGGAACCAGAAAGTCATGGTTCGATTCCCGGTCAGGGCACACGCCTGGGTTGTGGGCTTGATCCCCAGTTGGGAGCATGCAGGAGGCAGGCGAACAATGATTCTCTCTCATCATTGATGTTTCTATCTCTCCCTCTCCCTTCTTCTCTGAAATCAATAAAAAAAATATTTTTTTAATGAAATAAACTATGTGAAAAAATTATACCTCTTAATAATGAGCAAACACATGGCAAGCATAGGGAAAGTATGGGTTTTCCCACAGTGACACAGTATTGCAGGGACCGTGGGGGCCCCAAGCATTCCTCTGCTCTGCCCTACTTCTCAGCATTGGGGCAGCAAGACAGGGTCATGTGACCAATTCTGGCCAATGGGCTGTGGATGTAGAGCTGGTTTGGGTCATTTCCAGGCTAAGGCAGTAAGAATGAACGTGTGTTCTCAACTTTCTCCCCACATGTTGCAGCAGCCAGGAAGCCGTGCTTGAAGACGTAGGTGTCACAAGGAGGAGGAAGCTTAGAACCTCAAAACACTGGCTATGGGCAGGCACACTGGTGGCTGGCGATCCAGGCTCTGCCTCCAGGAGGGCCCGAACTCTGGGGTCAGTGGAACTCAGCTGCAAGGAGCACCCGAGGGTGCGGGACAGTGGCCTGTGGCCTGGTGGGAAGAGCAGGTGCCTCAGAAGACAACTCTCAGCAATACCTTCAAGACCCAAGCCAGCGAAAGCCACATTGCTTTATCCAAGAGCAACTCTGGAAAAGAGCGAGGCGTGGGCAGCATGTACTCGGCCATCTCGGGGTTCATCAGGCATGTGCTCCCCGTCCCTGACCGTGGTCCCGCACGCAGCCCTGAGACCCACCCTGACTTCTGGCTTTCGGAACTCTCTAGATATGCTCTTGGCATCAACTTATAAATACGCGTCCTTGGCTTATGCTCCCTACCTTTCAATTCTACTCCTCAGCCCAGAATAGCACCTTGTGAATCACCAGGTACTAACCTCACAAGGTCCCTGGTTCATCCCACGGCCTTTTTAAGCCACATCTGCCAGGAAGATTGGAAGGGAGGGGTGTAGGTGTGTAAGGGAAGAGTCAATAATCAGGTAGACAGGCAGAGGCCGGGTGTGGACAGACCCAAGGCAGAAAAGGCCAGCAAAGTGGCAGCCAAAAGCCAGGGCTGGGGCAACAATGCCCGCTGTCCCCAAAGGAAGCTGCCAGCCAGGGCCCCCGTTACCTGGGCTCACTGCGGGCTCATCCGCATCTTCCCACCCAGGTGCCAAGCTGCTCCTCCCGCCTCCTCCCAGCCTAATGATCCTCAGTGATCAAGCTGAGGCCCTCCCTCTTCCACGGATTCTTCCTTAGTTACTTCCGTTCCAATCCTAAGTCTCTCAATTCCCTGCACCAGAGAGCTACCATTACTGCCCAGCCCCAGCCCCAGGCCCACATGGCACCACCATCTGCCACCCTCTCATGAGTGAGTGGGCCCTGCGTCTGTGGCTAAGCGGTGAGCCCCACGTCTGTCCCAGGAACACATATCTTAGCCCATCTGACCCGAGAACACATAACCCATACTCAATAGTACTTATGACCTCCATTAAAAGGTATAATATAAGAAAGATTAATTCGAGTAATATGTGGTCAGCTGAGAAAATGATTTAGAGGAACTACGGTAGAATCCAGTTTCCACACGAAAAATTCCCAGCGAGGTTCCCTTTGCTCTGTGTGCCTGTGACACGCACCCAAACTCCCAATGAAGATGTGATTCGATGTTTTCATTATCTTAATGCCTAAATTGGATTGACCACATTGCCAGTCTGATCAGCTGCATACGTGGATCATCAAGAGGATTGGGAGGAAGAGGAGCGGATACCAGTTGATGGAGAGACGATCAATTTGGCACCTGCATTTACATATGGGATAGCGCTGGTATTTCATTTATTCCGTGCAGTCGCTATTATGTGTAAGCGAGTTGGTGAAGACTGACGGGGGTTTACCTGAGTCAGAATGGGTCCAGGAAACCGAGGTCAGCATTGCTCCAGTCACGGGAAGGACAGAGAAGCCTCCATTGTCACCAGAGCCATGGTCTTCTGGGAGATGATGCGTCTAGTGGCTGGTGGAGAGAAGCAGAAGGAAGACGGCATTAGAGCAGAGGGGGAGAGAGGACCCTCTCAGCTACAGCGAACACCATCTCTGACAGGGCTGTAAAAGATGCCACACTTCAGTGACAGCGCCGATTGCAACGGCACCTCTTTGTTGCTTAGAAAGTTTATTGAAGCGCCGGCCTTTCAGATGGAGTGTTCTTGAAACTGCCTCGCGGGGCACAAAAGGCCCCAGAGATGTGAACACGCATGCCACGGACATTGTGAGATTATCTCCTGTTACTACAACTGCGACTGAGACATTTGTGATGTAGATAAAGGAGAGGCATCAGCACGCCAACAAGCATGGCAGGCCGGTGCTGGACCACGGAGACCGGCCCTCATCCGCTGGGTAGGCCAGGTCCACAGGCACAAACTCAAGGTCTCTCTATCCTGCTGCTGTAAGAGAAGATGACTCCGGCTCTGCTCCTGGGGGGAAAGGTCCCATCCAGCTAAAGCTCACTACATGGGCTGCAAGCTTTTGAGCCACAGTTAACCCATAATCTTGCAAAATAGGAAAGTTGGTACATGGGGTGGATTGCATCATAATTTGATGGGAGGTATTTTTTGTTTGTTTGGTGGTGGTGTCTTTTGGCCTCCGTCTCAAGGAAGACAGATCGGTAAACTGCCTACTAAAAACAATGGCATTACTCGATGAGGTTGGTGTGAGAATCCTCAGAAATAAAGCCACTGCGTCAGTGGTCCCCCAATGATGGTCCCTGGAACAGCAGCATGAACATCCCCTGTGAGTTTGTTGGAAATGCAAATTCTCAGCCCCCACTAAAGACCTCCTGAATCTGAACATTTGGAGGTGGGGTACAGCAATCTGTTTTAACAAGCCCTTCAAGTGATTCTGATACACGTTAGATCCTCCATTTATCCACCCATCCAAAGACATCTAATCTGTCGTTGTAGATCAAAATTATCCTCCCCTGATGCTGTTACATTTCCAAGTACAGTGAGCTGGGGATTGGAAGGAAGATGGAAGGGTCACAGAGAGAAGCTGATGAAATGGCCCTTTTGGAGAAATGTACTGTCCACTGTGGGAGATAACACATGTACGTAGGCAACTCAAATGCAGATAGAATGCGTTATTTCCTATAACAAACAGAAGGTTTCGGAGGCGACATTTGTTTCTGGCGGAGGTGAGGAGCGGGGCAGGTAGGAGAAAGCATAAAGACAATAACAATAAAATGGGCCTTGAGATGTGAACCAGATTTTGACCAGGAGAACCAAACAAAAGCTAAAGCGAAGGCCCAGAGAGGAGCAAGCATGAAGGCTATTCCGGGTGCCTGGGGCAGCCAGGTCTGGCTGACGCTGGAGACACGTGGAAAGTGATCCAGGTGAGACAAAAAAAAAAAAACGTTCAAGTACAAACAGGTGAACACTAGGGGCCTGTGGCATCTGTTGTTTATGTTTAGAAACCGGCATCTAATAAATCAGAGGACTCCAAGATTTCTGAACCCAGCCTGCTTTTCTGTGCTTGCTGTAACTGCATTTTCTAGAAGGGAGCTTAGAGGAGCAACTGTGGGAGGTCTGCCCAGGAGGAACTCGCAAAAGAACATTTTAAAGCAGGCACAGGGCTCTGGATGTCACCAGAGCCTCGGGCCATTCTGCAAAGGGGCAGAATCTCACCAGACCTAAAAAGTCCCTGAGGACATCCATGGTTTTAGCTTCATAAAACAACGCCTAGGGAATGGTGGCGTGCCTTAGTCACAGGGAAAAGTGAAAGGGTTGAAGAGGAGGAATGGAGGAGGGTAGTCAAAAGATACAGACTTCCAGTTATAAATAAGCCTACGCAGTGGTTGGCAAACTGCAGCTCGTGAGCCACATGCGGCTCTTTGGCCCCTTGAGTGTGGCTCTTCCACAAAATACTACGTGCGGTTGCACACATACAGTGGGATTGAAATTTCGTGGGATTGAAACCATGCACAGAAGTCGGTTTTCGGCTCTCAAAAGAAATTTCAATCGTTGTACTGTTGATAGTTGGCTCTGTTGACGAATGAGTTTGCCGACCACTGAGACAAGGGAATATAAAGTACAGCCTGATGACTCCAGTTAGTAATATTCTATCGCATATTTGAAAGTTGCTAAGAGGGTAGATCTTTAAAGTTCTCAGCACATACAAAAATGTGTAACTACATAAGGTAATGCGTGTTAACTAGACTTATTATGATAATCTCGCAATATATACAAATATCAGATCATTATGTCGTACACCAGAAACTGATATATGTCACATGTCAATTATACTTCAATTTAAAAATATTGAAATCGTGTTTTAAAAAAATGTTAAACTGACACTAAAGCTCTTCAATTAGAGAAAAAATAATTTTCATGATCCAGAAGGCATGGCTTGCCCAGCTGGCATGACTCAGTGGTTGAGCATTGACCTATGAACCAGGAGGTCACAGTTCAGATCCCATTCAGGATTTCGGGCACCATCCCCAGTGTGGGGCATTGGTCCAGGGCAACCAATCGATGATTCTATCTCATCATTGATGTTTCTATCCCTCTTGCCTTCTCACTTCCTTTCTGAAATCAATAAAAAAAAATTTCTTTTAAAGAAGGTATGGTATTTGCTTCTAGAAAATTAACATGCATAGAATGCTTTCTTTCCTGATGCTGCCAAATGAATGATGAAATACTGTGTGAGGTTGCACAGGCTCTGATGGAAAGGAAGCTGGATTTAGTACTGGTTACACCTGGTCGCTCATCTCAGCTCTGCCATTTGGCCATTGAATCATTATGGGCAAAGCATTCAACCCCCTACACCTCAGTGTTTCCTTGATCAAGAAACAGAGGCACTGGCTTACCCCAACTCCTTTGAAATTTAAATAAGAAAATCCACATGAAGTGGCTGCGAAAATGATAAAGTTGCAATACTGCACAGAAGCATAGAATTATCCTACTCCTTGGGACATTTGGGTACTAATTAACACTTGTTACTGTGTTTGGCCTTTGAAAATATAGAAATAAAACGTTTCTTATGCCCTTGAGACTCCTTTTAAATATTTCAGATATAAGCACTTCTAAGGAGCCAACTTGGCATCCAGCAAAGCGCTCTCCCATGAAACCCTTCACGGCGCATTTTTTACTTGTGATTTTTGTCTTTAATTTCATTCCTCTGACCACGATGGGGGATCCAGTTATCTTTCCGCCGCGCCTGGGGAGCACAGCTCAGTCCTCAGCAGCACAGACGTATATGATGGCGATGATTTATCATCTCTGCAGTAGTGTCGTCCCAGATGGGCCATTTACTGATTTATTTCCATATGTAACTGGCAGAGAGATTAATCAGGCTTCCAACTTGGAAACCGAATTGTGCTTTATTTCCCTAACTGGCTAACTCTGGACAAGAGGAAGTACACAGAAATCATACAGAAAACCAAGAGTTCCCCTTCCAAAGCCTGCTGACCTCCTATGCCTTTACACACACACACACACACACACACACACACACACACACACACACAGAGCTTGCTCTTCCTGGCAGCTCCTCCTGGAGGGCTGGCTCTTTCCTTAAATGCTCATGGGCTTCCCCATAGGAGCTGAGTCTAATAGAACTGCGGGCACTGTGAGCCCAGAAACGTTAATGCCAAATCAGGTCCAGTTGCAGTCACATTCCCCTCCCCATGTGCAAGCTCAGGCTCATATTTCCGAGACTGAAGAGATCCCTTTGCCATGGCGCTGCCCCCAGCTGGCCCCGCTGCACGGTGCCCAGGCCCTGGAAAGTATGTGCTTTCTTTTTTCCACTCTTTTTAAGGGTCTGGACTTGACTGAATTCAGCAGCTCCCATAACCTCAGCCAGGCGATGGCTAATGACCTGTTAGCACTGCTCCCTGCCTCCCTACCCCAGGTCAGCTCTCAGCCCACTTTTGTTAATTCCACTCCCATGATATTAGCTTTTAGCAAAGAGTGTTAATGGGATGGTTATCTCGGGGCAGTGTTTACATACAGAAAGCCAGCCAATCGCAACCCAGGTCAGAAGGCACCAGCTGACTGTGCCATCTCACACCCAAGGCCTCAGTCAGGAAGGCACAGTGCACGGGGCCATGGAGATTTATCTTTTTAAAATCCTCACCCAATGAGATGTTTTTATTGATTTTTTTCTTTATAGACAGAGCTAGGGAGAGAAAGGAGAAACATCGATCGACTGCCTCCAACCACTGAGCCATCAGCCAGGCAGGACCATGCAGAGCTCTCACTGGCTCCCCACACACCTGGGTCCCTAACCCCCAAGGGGCTTTGGAACAGTCACTTAATTTGGGTACACAGTTCTCTCCTCTGTGGTTTGAGTTTACTCTATCAGGTTCCTTCCGGCTCTAAAATCATGTGATACCATGAATATGGTGGGGGCGGAAGGGAGGAATCAGCCATGCCCTTAGTTTCTGAGTTTAGATGATGCCAAACAGCCAGAAGTTTGGAAGCCTCTGAAAGTGGCTGGATCGGTCCAGACAGACAGAGCCCCGGGAAGCTCAGTACCCAATAGGCTCTCCTTCAGCAGAAAGCATGAGCACTGGAAGGTTGCACAGCTTTACAAATGTTTAAGAATATTCTGCAATACAGCAACAGCTCGGAGTACTGTTCTAGGGATGGCAAAAGCTACAAGACGCCCAAGTCAGAGACCTTTCTCTTTCATACACTCACATCTCAGTTAAGAAGAGACACCACTGATCTGAATACAGTGAAAGAAGTGCCATCATGGAAGACAAAGAAACTGTGATGGGAACACGGAAGCTGGAAAAATCCTCCTGACGAGGGGGAGAAGGGGAGAGCTGTAAGGTTGTATGGAGGACGTGGGACTGAAGCTGGGTCTTACAAAGCCAAGATGGAGGGGAAGGCGTTGGACAAATACACCGGCGAGAGCCAAGGCCTAGGGCTTCCTGGCCAGGCCAGGACACGGTATTTGGTACCCTAGGGCAGCCACAGGATGCTCAAGGGGAAGAGGGCTGGTGGGAGGGAAGGCTGG